ATTCAGTGGAATGAGCTAGAACGGGCGAGCTTCATTGAAAATGAAAACTTATATTTCACCCAAAACTTATATTTCACCCAAAATCTCTCCACCTGTGGAAGCTGAAGCTGGTACCCAAGCTTTCTTCAAAGGAGCCCTTCCCAGTCTTCCAGCTAAGTAGGACAGTAGCCCGCTTGGGAAGATGATTAAAAGTTCTTTGGGATGCAATGCACGAACCACTCCGATACAGAATCGTAGCGCCATTAGAACGCATTGCGACCCAAACAATGACTTGAGGTGACCAACGGTATAAGAATCAGTGTTTCTATCTCCCAGACAATTCTGGCACGACTTTATTGGTCCCCGAAGCGGAAGTTTCCGCTAGACCGAGCAAAAACCGATCCAAGATTTGATCTCTGGATGGCCCACCTCACCAGATTTACAATTCAATGCTTTGTCTTTATTAATCTGATGAGTTATTTCTCTGCACTTGCAACTTTTTCGCTATACACTATAAAGCTGTGAACAAGTTTATTAAATGGGTGAGTATCATTGACACGCAGGCGCTCCAGGAGATCCCATAGCAGTAGGAATAATCTTCGGCTGAGGCTTGCCGACGGATGGACGGAAGAATTTCGAAGGAACACTGTAAAATTATTGGTCCACATGTGAAATACAGAGTTTTGGATGAATGACTCACTTGTAGATTTTCATCGACGGTCATCATCGCGGCAGCGTTGTCGAACTGGCCACAATAGTGAGGGGCTGAGAAGATGGTCTGAAATTAGTTGCGGCTATGACTCCTTAGAAGGCGGTAGCCAGGACGGCAGTAGGCCTCATTTTACCAAGGGGAAGGCATAGGCATTGTCTTCAGAACAAGTCTAAGAAATTACCACAAGTTTCCGTCCTCCGAAGAACTCGTAGCCATCCTGCACTACTTGATGAGCTCTTGCAACCTGGAACGAGTCAAACTCAGGTTAACTTGCTTCGATGCAGACGTCAATGTGCAGGCGATGGCCGGAGGTGCTCTGTGATGATGCGAAATGCCCGCCAACGGAGTCTTCCGCGGTACGGCACGGCATATACATATTGTGCCAGGCCGGGAGTCTCGCACTAAGATGAACGGTCCGGGATGACCTATGAAAATGCAAAAAAGTACGTGGGGTGGGTAGTGCAACCGCAGTGGACAACTCTGTGCCACTTTCACGGCTCAGAGTAGTAAGGATAAGTAGTTGAGGCGCAATGTTGGCCCAGTAACATCTCGTCTTTTAAGTGACTCCACCCCCAACTCCACCGTAAAGTCCGCTTTTCAGAAAGATACTTCCAGGCGCGTCTAGCGCCCTTCCTAGCGTGTATAGATGCTCCATTGTCTCCTGTGAGATCATGCAGTTCATAGCAAGAAATGAGCCGACTGGACTCGAACATCCAAAATTTCGGCCTTTCACCTACCTTCAAATGTTTTTGGCGCGAGGGGTCATAGTAAAGGCGTTTTCGACGTTCCCAACACTTCAAAGGTGAGTCACTTGACTGCTTTGCTTCCACATTTCAACGCCACTACCAACGCTTCCCGGCGTACCGTACTTTTATTCTTTGAAGAGCGTAGGTAGTGGTACTGCATTGTCTATCTCCATCCCTTTTATGGGCGTGTAACCCAACCAGGTCCCACCCGCAATTCCGAGTGGAATTGGGAAACATTGAACATTTGCGGAGTAGTTTACAGATCCATTACCAAATCGATGTTGAGCATTTGGCAGAACTTGGCCAGAATATCGGGTCCAAAACCATATGAGGCACCACGCATGTTCGCCTAAATAGCCGACATTCAAAAGAGAATGCGAAAGTACAATGTTAATATTAAAATGTAATGTTGACGATTGCTCGGGCAGGAGCCTGACAAAGGGGAATCTCACCTGAAAACCATTCAATCCGATCACCGGGTCTGCCCAAAGCAGATCCATTTCCAGAGTTGCTCCGATTGCTTCAGTGGGCCTGAAAAGGAACACTTTCACCTGCACTTGACTCGGAGAGCCTGCACTCTTACAAAGACTATTTAGTGAAGATAAAGGACACCAAGTATTTTGTGGGAGCTTTCTGACTTGCCTAGGAATATTTCTGAGTTGTTCCAGTGATTCCAAATGAGGCGACAGACCGCCGTGCATGCAGAGGATTTTGTCGCCAACAAGAGCTGTCAAAGGCATCACGCAGAAAACATCCTAAAGGAGAGAACCTGTGGGATCATGATACACTCCACATCTCGAAGGCAAAAGCGGCGTGGCCGCACACTTTGCTCGAACCAGGCACGGGATGCGTTTGTCGTGGGATTTTCCCTTTCAAGACAGCGGTCGTGCTGGCTTGTGGTGGCCGAAGACATGATTACAATTGTCTCGAAACAAAAATATCTCACAAGAAGCGCAATCCCTGCTTTGTTCAGTTGAAGTATGTAACCATGCCCTTTCTTCTTTGGGATATGAACTGCACATGGTGTCAGTGTAACTATCGCGCTGCGTGAAGTTTTTTCTAGATGCGAAATTCTCCCCTCGTTCTGTGATCCTCTTTCAGATCCTTGCCTCCTCCTCTCATGAATCCTCCTGACCCTCCCTCGTGGCTTCTCCTAAGAATCTGCTAAGCTGGAGAAGTGGGAGGGGGGAGAAGTAGATCCTGGTCTTCGACTATATCCAGAAATGTAGGTTCTGCTGCAACGCTTCTGGTGGCTAAAAGCATTAAAAATCTCGTCCATCAGTGCCCCCTTAACGCCAAAACACGATCCTGCATTTGCTTGCCTACAGAATGAATGCTTAGCCCCGCGAGAAATGGGTAGCGTTGTCGGCGTTTCTTTTAAATCGGCGAAATTCCGCGCTTTTAGGGGGCTGGTTCCAGCTCATTCTCCACCGACTGTGGAAGCTGGCAGGGGACACAGTAGTTCAGAATTTGTCTGATGCCGCGCCGAGCCCACTCCTTGAGACGCTCCAGCGTCCGCGGCGAACAATACTATGGTACGCATCGCTAGCCCTATTAAACATTTCGCCTCCCATTAATAATAACTACCTGACAACAGCCAAGACTCAGTTGGATGTAGAACTCGCAGCTGTCCCAAAAAGGGTTGAAGGATCCTAATTATGGACTAGTTACGTGTCTTCGCAGTGAGGCCTACCTTAAATGATTGGCCAAATCTCGTTGACTTTGAATATCGCACGCATGCACTCATCGTAAACGAATGACATAGAGGCCACGATGACGTTAGCACACTCGTGATTTCCTCGCAACAACAAGAAGAAATTCTTTGGGAATTTCAGCTGAAACATTCGCGTAGACATTACAGATGCTCTTCGGCTTCAAGGGGACATTTTCCTCATTCGCTGGTTTATTTTATTGGCTCATGTTACGCAACACGTCGCGCTTTCGTCGGACCTGTAAACTCCTAAACTGCAAAATTATCCGAGTAAGCCACTTTGGTCACAGCAATTCGCAGGCAAAGGGATTCTAGCTAGCAGGTGATCGCAGTCACTGCATGCATTGAACCAATGTTCTGTAACCGTGCATCATTGGGTCGGCTGATTTCTCTGTGCCTGCCTAGTTTTATGTCAAAATATGCTCCAGAAACTGTGGGAGAAACTGCCCACAAGGGCCTTTTTCAAAGTGCGCGTGTCCCTGCAAAAGTGTTCCGTAGGCGTCTCTGATCGAAGAACATACGTGTTTAATGCAGCATCTTCCTCACATTAGCCTTCGGCCTTACTCCTTGTCCTATGGCTCGAAGGCCTTTGTTTAGCCCTGACTAGTTGGAAAATGAACAAAATCTCACCTTATATGCAATCACTAGTAAGATTACTTCAAGATTTTGTTTACCTCTATCCACATAATCACCCAAAAATAAGTAGTTGGATAGTGGAGGAAATCCTCCCTGAAACGGTTTACTGTTTCAGAAATACTTATGCGCAAATATATTTGAGAACTTGCTCAAGGAGCGGACCCATGTGAAGGTAGAGCTGGCACTTGCCACTTGGCCATAAGGGCAAGTAACCTATTTTGTGGCGACTATACCCAGGACTAGACGCTACTGAAAAATGGCAGTGGCCAGACATCACGCTCCACCAGGACTCACCTCACCTTCGTGGTGTCTGTCCTTGTTATCTGATAATTGAACAGGTCTGCAGCTGTAGAAAAGTGCCT